CGCGCCTGCTACCTGCGCCCGAGCCCGCCTCTGGTGTCCGTTTTGATACTGGAGACAGGCACGTGGGTGAAGGTAGAGGGAGAGTGCGGTAGATGCTGCGCAAGTCTACTATCACTTAAAATTAATTCACGCGCATTTCACCGACCCTAGCACACCTTGCTTTGCGGCACACGGTAGATGCAATAGTCAAACTGTTGTTTGGTAGCCCTCTTGTCTGAACTGCGCATGCAATTTTCTCACGGAAGCTCAGAAAGGCATGTGCTCCTGTTCCTGCATGATGCTATAGATGCAAACTAGCAAACAAAACGCTTGTTCGCTGTCGTCAGCAAACAATACGCAAGTTGAGATGCGGATTATTAAATATGTGGTGGACAGCCAACGTCGCTTTCTGGCTTCCTTGGTCAATTCTCACTGTCTCACCCGCACGCACTTTCGCAGCAGATTTTTCTGGTAATTACATCATCAGATCACGTTGGGGTCACCAATTTGTAACGTCTAAGCAATAGGTGTACTCAGGGCGCTACAGTCATCAGGCTAAATCAGGCCTCTGGTTTGCCCCACCCTCTAATTTCCCTTTAACTACGAATTCTGTAAGAAACTTCAGTGGGACATTTTTTACCATTAGGCGGCCTTTTCTTAAGTGATCGCGTCGCCAAGAGAAGGTTCCCAAATCGCATGCCAGGTAAGACAAAGTTGGTAGGAATAGCCTTACTGCAAGAAGATGAACTGTACAAAGGCTGTGTGACGAACCAGCTGACAGCCATGTCTGCAGGCCAGTTGTGTCCGTTAAGTTGTGTGTTGTTGTGTAGCTTTGCCTGCGCAATGAGTACTCTGCCGTCTGCAGCCAATCACATGAAGCGGGAGTATCGATTGACTTGGAGCTTATACGGTTATCAGGCAGCGAGTTGATCAGTGGCGTGAGAAAAGCCGATAGCGCGCGCAGTGGATAATTCCGCATGGGAAAAAGGCCTGGCAGAGCGAAGGCAGGTTGAGTCACGCGCAGTTGCGCTGGGCCGCAGACTCCTCCAGCCTCCCAAGAAGGCTTTTCTGAAGTTCTTAAAACACTGAACTAAAAATGTATGTCTGTTTACAGACTAGCAAGATGACGCCTTATCTAAGTTGATTGTGTAGCCGGGGTCTGGTCGAATGGGTCGTGACCTCAGAATCGGCGTCATTTCCCCGCACTGCTGCCGCGTGTTCGACAGTTCGCACCTTTAGGAGTCTTTCAGCTTCTCCGACGTAGTTATTTTGTCTGTGATTGCAGCAGATCCCGTAGACAACTCCAGGTGTTTCCTACCGTGGTATTAGGTCTTTCGGCTCCGCCTGATGCCTGCCTCCGGCCAGCTGGCGTTGCGCTAAATTCCAGGTCGGTACTTATTCTTTTGTTCTAATATAGACAATAACCGTAATCCTAGCCTTCAATTGCCTTCGCGAGGCCCTCCGTTGTATGAAAAGTATCTGCACCCGCGTCTATAGTATGGGCACGGCTTTATTGGAGGACGATTAATATTCTGCTATGACTTATGACTTATGGAGAATTAAGTTGCGGTCTCTGTTTGTGGCCACATCTGTTTGGTCCGCGTCAGAGGCCTGCGGGTTACTCGTAACCGAATCCTTCTGCAGGTTGCCTATACTGCCAAAGCAAGAAGAACGATTTCAATTCTCTTCGGTCGATCGCCTTTCACCCATCTGACTAATAATGAGCCATTTTAAGTCCTTTCTCTTGCATTATCCACCTGTAAGATCTTCCATTTTCATCCCCGCCTCCCCTGCCCCCACCCCGTGAAACCCTTCAGGTGAGAGCAAAAGACAAAAACCGTACATCTTCCTGACAGGACGGGTACACCCAGGGGAGACCAACGCCAGCTGGGTGATGCGAGGCCTCCTGGAACGCCTGACTGACCCCGATGACGCAGAGATGCAGGAACTGCGCCGTATGTTCATCTTCAAGATCGTTCCGCTCCTCAACCCGGATGGCGTCATCTGTGGCAAGTGGGTATTCTACCTTTTTCTCTGAGACAGGGCTGGCTGTATGTGACCTGATTACCCCCTAAATGCGCTTGACCAACAAGGGGCATAGCATGTATTATTTGGGCTGCTTTCCCATAGCAAATGACGAACATGGGTGGAGGCGTAATGGTACGCATAGGGGTGGCCTTTTTGACTCTGTTATGACACCAAGCCATGTGTGTCTGAGGGAGGAGAGCGTGCGATGGATGCGGCACAAGTCTATCATCACCTTTAAAATTTCAAATTCACAAACGTCTAAAGACAGCAGTCACAAGCGCTTTCCCCAAGGCGAACTTGTGTTAATTCTTAAGGAACTCTCCCCTACTACGATTGGAAGATTAAGACCGACTCCCGTTGAAGGCCACACCCATGTGCAGTTACTCTTTCAAACGCTCCTGTTGAGCAGGATACATTGACCGAACAACGAGGCGTCCGGAAAGGAGGGTGTGTGTACACATACCAGCCTGGCTAAAGAATGGTAAAACTAGATCGATTTTGAGTTCTATTCTCGTACACCGTGTGGATACGATTCGCCGAGTCGACCCTATTAAAGCCTTTCAGGTTGTCTACCGGACACCCGCGAACTTCTCCAAGGGCCTACGTCAGAGGGTGTTAGCAGCAGTCGGGCAGTGGCTATAAGGCTAGGGAATCCAGTGCTGTGTTGTCAGAAGACGCTATTACAAGCGCTATTACTTCAGTGGCCGACGTCAGGTGACGGTCGCATATCACCCGCACCCCCTGGTGACCCCTGTTCACTGCATGCATGTGAAGGTGATTTTCAGTCTGTGTACTCGACCTGTGAGCAATGCTCACAACCCGCCCTATTTTCCCTTCTCCCCATTCCCCATGCGGGCGGTGTGAAAGCCGTGCGTTTTAATCATGTATTAACCCTGTGTAACCGTAATATTTTCATTATCCATGCTATTGTATCGGCCCGATAATGAATCGCCGAAAACTTGTTTCTCAAATATGATTTTCAATTTACACATGGAAATAATTGCAGAATATTAGTATTCATAATGTCCTTGCCTATCTGGTAGCTTTGGGTCATATTGAGCCTTAGCACGGTATACGTAGGTTCTCTATGGCCCTGGCGGAAAATAACTCACGCTGATCCTCATACTTTCTTTGTCAGGCCATAGATGCAGTGCGGGGAAAAC